CAGTCGAATGGCCACAGAGTGGATTCTCTTATTTAAAAGACCAAAGTGTTTCAACAATATAAATCATTGTACAACTGACTAGACTCAGCGAAATGTGGATATTTCGGGATTTGAAGTTTTCAGCTAATTTTTCAAGGCATACAGTACCAAGCTAACATTTTCCAAATGTGCAAAACATCCAGTAAAACACAGCCACAAGCTGGTCAAGCAGTGCATTTAGAAACACAAGTATTAACATCCATACATCTCAAACTCCAACCATTAAAGAGAGATTTAAGGTTATAATGTATGAGAAGAAACTGTACTAACAAAACGTTGTGAAAGATTTGAGCTAACGTTTTTTAACCAAACCACATTACTTCAACAACTTTTGTCTTAAGGACAGTGTAACAAGGGACCATTTGTCATGAATTACATTATATAGGTGAAAAGTGCAGTGCATGAAAACAGTTCATTTGAGATATGCACACAACTAAACTGTACGATGACCAGCGGCTAAAACTAAAAACAAACACTATGCAAAGTTTATAGTTTATAAAGCAATTGTGCATTTTTACATTTCAAAAACGAGATAAAAATAATTTAATTCAAAATAAAATACAACCAGAATTCTGTTTGGAATTATGTTTTCATCCGTGCATGTATAGTCTCAAATCAAGTTACTGAAAATGAGGAGAAAAAAAAGAGACAATTTTAGTTTAATGTAAACATTCATTTTATTCCTTACTGCAATGAGGCAAACAGACAAGGAAGCATGCACAATTAATAAGTGTAAATATACATTAAGCAAATTGTTTGGTATACATAGAGTATTTAACCCTTGTATGGTGTTCGGGTCTGTGGGACCCGTTTTCATTATTTAGCTAAAGAAAAATGAAATGATAAATTATTTTTTCAAACCCACACTCAATGGCCTTGGCTCATTTTCTGTGAAGAACATATATCAGAACACATTTTCAATGACCACCCACTGTACCCTACCCCCCCCCCCCCCACCCCTACACATTTACATTACATAATTGGGACAAATGTAAAAGGGCAAATATTAACCATATATGCTGTTTATATTGCTTGTAATTGGGATGAAGTAAACATCTGTTGAGTATTTTAACATGAAATAGTTTGGTTGTGTTGAATTGAAGCCCAAAAAGGCAGCGGGTCCACCAGACCCACGAACACTGGCTGAGTAACACAAATATGAACACCACACAAGGGTTAAGATGTACATACAAATACAATAAACTGTACATGTACTGCAATGTTAAGGTAAAAGCAGATCATCTACATTTGCAAAAAATACATTGCATGCAAAACCTACGATTCAAATATAGTCTACAAAAAGAAAAATATATAGGTTCATTATTATAGGACTTGTTATTTTCTCAGCCTTGCAAGACAAACGTCATTTAACTTTAAAAGTAATAGCACCAATAACTCTTTTTCTAATTTTAGTCAATTTAAAACCATAAATGAGAGGATTTACGATTGGAGGTATGAGAAGAAATTCTATTGCAATAACGTTTTGAAAGGTTCGAGGTAAATCCTTGGAACCATATCGTATATTCATAATGTCTAAAAGGATAGCCACAAGAAAAGTGATTAAGGAGATTAAATGTGGCACACATGTCTGCATGAACTTAGCTCTGTTTTCTTTAGAATGCACACATGTTTTGATGAGATACATGTAAGACCAGAGGATAAATAAACCATGAAATACGTAAATGAGTATTGTAATGTATGCAACTATGTTGTTAACCAAAGTGTCAGCTGGGAAAGTTTAACAATAATCCAATTCACACAGAACAGTCTGGCAATATGTGTGCTGCATAACTTTAATCTAGACGTTAGAATAATATTTATGCCGATAATGCAGAAAGGTGATAAGCAGGAAAAGCAGACTAACAGAAAGACTCTTTGCTTTGACATTATAGAGTTGTACTGCAGGGGTCGACATATAGCCACATATCTGTCGTATGCCATGACTGCAAGAATGGACAAATCACTGCAGGCAAATGAGTACATGACCAGAGCCTGAATAAGGCATCCAGAATAAGAGATAACATGAACAGGAGAAAGCAGATCCCAGAGAAACTTGGGGTAGAAACCTGTTGTCCCATAAAGTCCATTCATGCAAAATGTGCACAGTAGAATATACATTGGTTCATGCAGGTTTTTGTCCAAGATGACAGTCACAATCAGAGAAACATTTACCAGCACAATAAAACAGTAACACAGTAAAGTGAGAGCAAAGATATAAGCTTGGTAGTTTTCTGTTTCATTAAAACCTGAAAGAACAAACATAGTTATGAGAGAGATATTATCCATCAGAAAATGTTGTTGAACAAATGTTATAACAGAAAACGTATCAGTCATGGTTAAATAATGTTGTTCCTTCCCCTGTGTTGTCTACCCCCATCCTTAGAGAGAGAAAAGAGCCACCTGATGGTACTTTGTCTCATTTAAACTTCCTTAGAAAACATAATTTGTTGACCTGCTCAGTGCACCTCCATCAGTAACAAGTGTTCCCTCCTCTCACAGTTATTAATAATTAGTCTGACTACAACTTCACATGAGCTGGGAATTCAAACCAGCCAATCAACGATCTGAATGAGCTTTCCTGTCTTTCTGCTTGCTGAATGAGCAATGCCAAAAAAAAGAATGAAAAAAAAAGAAACAAATCCCGCAGCTGAAAACTGAGCTTGGGACGCTTCACGCACGTAACATAGAGATGCATTGTGGGACGTGTAGATTTGGACCCCGTACTTTTTAATATAATTTATGATAATGAAAATGATGACGGGCATCAAATGAGGTGGCGCTAGCCTCAAGTTTGACACCTGTGACCTAGATCCTGCAGTGTACCCCAACATCCTTTTGATTTTTGTCGGTGAATATGAAGGAAAAGTTTATTATTTTAATGCTAAATACATTTTATGGGCTTTTTCCCTGTCCCCATCAGTTTGCAATATTGACACACAGCTCCAGTCTCATACCGTTGCTAACCATAAACTGTGTATGTTGCTAACAAGCAGTGGTGAACAAATTACTCAGATCTTGTACTTGAGTAAAAGTAAAAGTACCAGAGTGCAGGAATACTCTGTTTCAAGTAAAAGTCCTGCAGTCAAAATGTTCCTCAAGTAAACTTAGAAAAGTATTGCCTTCCAAACATATTTAAAGTACCAAAAGTAAAAGTCGTCATTATGCGGATCAATTTCAGAATAATATATATTATATGTTTTTATTATAATTATTGATCATTAAAGTGTTCTCAAAGCTGGTAAAGGTGCAGCTAGTTTTAATAACGTTGTATAAAGCAGGGTTGCTTGTGAATTTACTCAGGTGTAACTAAAATCTGATTTAAGAGTTGATTATATTTCACATTATTAAACCAAAGTTGCAAAGTAACTAAAGGTATTACATAAATGTAGTGGAGTAAAAGTACAAAGTAGCAACAAATAGAAATACTCAAGTAAAGTTAAAGTAGCTAAACATTTTACTTAAGTACAGTACTTGAGTAAATGTACTTAGTTACTTTGCACCACTGCTAACAAGCACATTTTCCATAAATGGAAAGTGAATACGTGCTGTAGATTTAGCCCCCTTAAACCTCCATTCTGTAACACAGGGGTGTCAAACTCAAGGCCTGTGGGCCAAATCCGGCCCCCGACTTCATTTTATTTTGCCCGCAAAAGCTATGCAAAAAATATTATACGGTTTCATGCCACTTTACAGAAGCACGATGTCCATAAACTACATGTCCCACAATGCATATCATTTTGTGACATGCGCACTGAAGAGACGTGCAATTATTTGCAATTATTTGCCCCAGATTTCTGCTCTCAGACGTAGTTAATTATGAAATTATTACCCAATCCGATAATAATCCAATGCAGAGGCAATAATGTAATTTTAAAAACTATTGTATATATATATATGTATATTTATATAGTATTAAAGTGACAACCGGCCCTTTGAGTGCAACCTTAATGCTGATGTGGCCCGCGATTCAATTGTGTTTGACACCCCTGCTGTAACACCTCTGTGTTGCCTGCATAACACAGAAAACATTTTTATTTTTCAAATCTAATTCCAATTATTGTCTCCTAATAAATAGGACATGTAATATTTGGGTAATCAGTGTTACTGTACTTGTTTTACTGGGATTAAATTAAGGTATGAACTGTATATTTGAAATTGTGTAAGTGATTTTCTTATAAATGATATTAAACAACGCATTTAATGGTTGACTTTTACCACAACAAGTTTTCTAAGCATTGGTTATAGTTTTTTCATCTGTGAACCTAAGATTCTTAAAAATTATTGTTAGAGTCAAATTATTTAAATGATTAAGAACACTGATGCATATAAAATATAAGGTGGAATGAAAAACATTAATATGCAAGTAACTCGATTTTACATTTGATGTTTTAGTATATCTCCTGCTCTTTCATCTTTAGAGATTCATTTTTATTTTGAAAAGTATGCTTACTAAGATGAAGTAATACCCAGCTTATATGATTTACATTACAAACAAAACAACTGCAGATCCTTTTGTTTCATGTAGTTTATTGGATAATATGACATTTTACAGAAGGAAAAGCTCATACACATTACAGTAAATATTATATCAGTTAGTAACATTAATAATCATTCAACAGATAAATGTTTTCCTTAACAACAGATCTTTAAAAATAACATTTACAAATCAATTGTAACATGAACCATCCAGTCATCATGGCAAGAGTGATTGCTGAATAATAATTATAATAAGAATGTGTTATAAACAAAGAATTTAAAGGGGATACATACATCATGTGAGAGGAATAAAAGGTCATTTCTGTGTCAACATGCAGTAGCAGTCCTGTTATACTACATCAACAATAATCTACCTTGTCAACTAACAATTTGTAACATACACATTTCACAAATAAATGTAGACTCAAAAACATTTCATTTTTAAATCAAAACAATGCATTCATTTATTTTCAATGTATTATATCTCAGTTTGACTGCTTGCCTCTGATATGAAAAGTCATGACATGACACTTTGCATCTCTCTTTTTAAAACAAATTAACTTCAAGATTTTGTTGCGAACCTTGGTCAGATGGAAACCATATATAAATGGATTCACAAATGGAGGAATAAGCAGAAATTGTATTGCCATGAAATTATAGAAGTTTTGAGAGAACTCAACTTTCCCAAATCTCATGTACATTACATCTAAAAGCACAGCTGTGGTAAAAATGATTAGAGAGATTAAATGTGGCAAGCATGTCTGTATAAACTTCCCCCATTTTCTGGAGGATACGCACGTTCTTATCAAATACATGTAAGACCAAACAATAAACACGAAATGTGCAAAATAGAATACAATGTTAAAATATGCGATTGCAGAATTTGCTTTAGGAGGCGAGCAAGCAAGAGTAACTATCATCCAGTTGACACAATAGATCCTTTTTATGTGTGATCCACATAAACGAATTCCTAATAAGGATGCTGAGTTCATGAACATAAGGAAAAGAGGAAAAAACCAAGATAAAACAACAAAGAGTGAGACTCTCTGTCTGGTCATAACTGAATGGTAAACTAGCGGTCGACATATTGCCACATATCTGTCATATGCCATCAAAGCTAAGATAGAAAAATCACAGCAAGATGAGGAGTGTATCACATAACCTTGAAGCATGCAACCAGCATAGGAAATGACATGAGATGACAGAAGATCCAGAAGAAACTTTGGGTAAAACCCAACAGTTCCATACAGAGCACTAATGCAGAGATTACACACAAATATATACATAGGCTCATGGAGGTTTTTATCCATAATAATAGCAACAATAAGAGCAACATTTCCAAAAATGATCATAAGATACCACAGTAAAGTCAAGCAGAAGAGGGTCATTCTTTCTTCAAATGTAAAATATAAACCTGAAAGAGTAAACACTGTGGCAGAAGAAACATTTTCAAACATCTTCAATTTGTCTTGATTTCTCAAACCCATTTCACCACATACATTTAGAATTAAATTCAAACGACACAGTTACCAGTAGTTTGCAGAGAGCTGAGTATCCAAGGCTGTGTGGCCAAAAGAAGTGACAGTTAAATGTGGCGGCACCAAACGATTTATCTGTTTTGTTAAAACAAAAACAGCCTTGAGAATGCAACCGGCCAATCACTGGGCTGTTGAGGCGACCAAAGGTGGGACCAAATATGCAAATATATTACTGTGGACTTTTGGCTAAAATAAATAATAACTAAAAAAGAAAAACAATGTGGTTCTGTGAATTACTGAATACCTATTTATTTCATCCTTCACACAAACTAAAGGTTACCTGTAATGAAGGTCAATCAGTCTCCTTGGAAATATGTTTTAAAGGTTTTGAATGAAATTTGATGACAACAGGGTAATGTTTTCAATTAACATAATGAGCTTATTCTGTTAGCAATCTATACGGCAAGTTGCAAAAATATTGAGACTGAAGTGATATTGAATGTTTCACTAAAAGATTTTAGGCCATCGCACAATCTGCAGAGGACAGAGGGGTTGAATGGATTGCATGGATTAGAAGACTGTTGCCCCTTTCCCACCAACGCGGTTCCCGTTCTAGCTCCGTGCTAGCGCTCTTCTGGTTCGGAACCGTTTTTTATTTTCAGCCCCCGTTTTGTTCACACGGCCCAGTTATACTTTTCTCCAGAGTACCGCGGTTCATTGTTTATTAATGTGTTTCAGCGGCATTTACCGACCGCTGCAGTGCTGCTCTTCCACTGGAGTTTAGTCTCCCGTTAACTCACGGCAGCGGCCGCTGTAAAGTATTCACTGTCTGACTGTCACACAAGCAGCTGATAAATATCCCCCATCCCCAATTCCCCTCAAGTGAATGTGTGTCAGTATGAATTGACGCCGTTTGGCATCACAATGCCGTTATGAAAGTTTCTCTGGTATAAAATGGGTGATGTAAGCATAGCAACCGAAGCTAAACTGACTATCTTGACTACTTGTTGCTATCCTATTGTGGCATAAGCCGTTTTCTACAGGCACATTTTACCGGCGTATTTTTCATTATGATTCTACTTGTGATAGTTGGACATGAGTCATGACAACCTGTGCAGCCCATGTATTGTTTCAATCCGATAGCTGCTATAATACAAAACAAAACGTCTGCCTGCTCTCCACAATGAACAATGACAACGAACGGATGGTCAAAGTAAGGTACTGTGACATCCCTGTGGTTGTCCACCAGGTGGTGCTGTTGTAACCTGTGTGTTTCCTTGTAATCAGCAGTGATGAGACCCACCTGTGGCACTTGGTTCCAGTATTTAAGAGGGCTGCAGAACAGGCTCTCGCTCTCTCTCAGCTGCCCTGCTCGGTGCACCAGGACACCGCTCCTGTGTTTGTTTTATTGTTGGTTGTAACCACTGTGTTGGTAAATAAATACTTGTTTTGGGCAACTCCTGTGTGGAACTGTTGTCCTTATGTTGCAAGCAGAGCCAGCTTGTAACAGTACAAATAAACAGAATCACACTAAGCCTGGTTAGTGTTGCCTGACTTTATAAAGTGTGTTTGCGTTCTAGTCACTTTGCTCAGCGCTACTGCTTGTTACAACTTTTATTTGCCGTACTCGCCATAAACTGTTATTGCTCAGGTTGATCCCGCCCCTGCCCCCGCCTCCGACGTAAGCGTGACGTATGCGGTTCTTGCTTCTTGACCGAATTTTTTTTGGAGCTTGGTAAGAACCAGTCTTCGGGGAAAAGAGTCAGCTCCGCTACGGTGTGAACAGGAAAAACCGGTGCTTATCAGGCTCTAGCTCCGAACCGGCCCTGGAACCGCGTTGGTGTGAAAGGGGCATGTGAGCACCTCCGCTCGCACACAGTTTAAAAAGGATGGAAGCAGAAGGATCGAAATTGAATAGTGGCCTGTACTACGTAGCAGGATTTGCGGTTAGCGAGGTAACTTCAGGCAGGGCTGCCCCTGGCCAACAAAATTGTGTGATGAGGCCCCCCGAGTCGTCACTCATGTAAAACAAAAATGCTAGTGGAGCACGCTCGTGAACTGTTAGCGCGCTCCGCCATAATGCAGCCCTTACCACTACGGTAAACTGCATTAATTGGAGTCTTTGGTCTAGGCGTAGTGTGTTCTCTGACAGTAATACGCCGGCCATAATGTCCCTGTACCCGCATAGCACTTTGATAGCACTCCCTGCGGTTTATCACTCTCATCTGCGCATGCCCACTAGCCACTTCCTTTACAGGAGCTACAGCTGGGGCGGCGAGTGGGGAATTTGTACAGTCAACATTACGTGTAAGTGTAGCATTGTGGAAACAAAGGACACTTAGACTTGGATACAGATCAACTTTCTTTTTATTCAAAAAATACTTTGTTGCGACCTGTGCATTAAACAGGGAGGAGGCGGGATTCGCCCTCCCGTCCTGGGCGGAGAGATTCTCTCCCCCCGCCGGGACGCTTCCTCCCCTCGCCAGTCAGCTCCGGGAAGACGGAGCACCCCATCCGGCCGCTCTCTGCTGCTGAGGAGGCTGCCGAGGTCGGGCAGCCCGTCGGGCAGCCGGTTCCACGGGATGGGCCGTAGAGGTGGAGGGCGCCGCGGCCACGGGAGCCACGGGAGCCCCGTGCCGGCGCCTCTCCCTCCGTTTCGCCGCCGCGCTGTGCTCCCTCGCCTGTAGGGAAACCCGTGGAGGAGCGCGCTGCGGGGCCTGAGGAGGGGCCAGCGGTAGCATACGGCTAAGCTGGACTCTCTCCTCCTCTAGGCGGCTGAAGCGCTGGGTGACCCAAAGAGCCCCTCCGTGGACACGGGGGCTCCAAGAAGATCCTCTTGGTCCTTCTTGGATAGGGCAGTGAGTCCTAGCCAGACATGACGAGACGCCACTGTGGCCAAGGACATCACCCGCCCTGCTGCGGGAGGGCGGGGCGCGTCTGCCTGAGGGGTGATCAGGGAGATGCCCAACACGCCAAGATTATTGGTCGCAGCCGCCATCTGTGTACCGAGCCTGAATATCTTATCAAGATACTCCAAGGTGTCTCGGTCCCGGGGCAGCGGAGGCAGAGGTCTTTTACCCTCCGCCCAACCAGCCGCCCGCGGAAGCAGATGGGCCGCCAGGCTCTCATCGAGGGGGGGCACACCGGGACACGCCGTGTCCGAGCGGCCCTGCACCCTGATGATGCCCGCAATGGCGGCTACTGGGGCCTTCGTTTTCAATGGCTGCTGCCATGTCGCCTCCACACATTGCCAGATGTCTGGCAACGGGGGCGAGACGAAGGCCGGCTGCGCCGGCTGCACCGGGCCGTAACACCCCTGTCTCAGGCGGCTTACAGGCCTCGGCGGGGGGAGCGGTAGGCCTACGCGCTCCGCCGCCAGGGTCATCACCGCTGGAAAGTCCAGCCGCGCAGACCTGAGAGTCGGACCACCGGACAATGAGGCGTCCTCGTCGTCCTCCTCCTCCGGGACCGGGGCCATCTGGCCCCACGGAAGGGAGAACCGGAATGGCACTTCCTCGTCTCCCGGCTTGCCCATCTCGACCACGTCGAGGTCCTGATCCTCTTGCTCCTCCTGTGGGCCGTGCTTTGCCAGAAAGTGATCCCCGCGATGCTGGCGGTTTACTGAGGGATCATCTGACATGCTTTACAGGCCGGTGACGGGTCCAGCCCGCTCGCGGTACAGGCCGTAACACATACATTCTCCTTTTACATACATATATTTTCACTCTTACACACATACATTCTCCTTTTACATTCAAACCCCTACCCCTGGGCCGTCAGGCTGCTTAACCTGTTAAGCCCGAGAGACCCCGGTACCGGGGCACTGCCGCAACATCTTGCAGGAAACAGTGTCTGAGGGCATGTTCATTTAATAAAACTATGAATGTTTTATATCCATGTAACGGGAAGAAACTCATCCAACTGATAATTTTTTTTTTTTTTTTAAAAGAAGACCCACAATGCTAAGACTGAGCCTCTGAATTAGTAACGAGCGAAAAATGCTAACACCTTACTGCACCGAAAATCACTCACAAAACCTTATTATTTATCTTTTCACCACATCCAACACATCGATTCACATCGTGAGATGACACAGAATCTATTGACACCAACATTACCACTGAATTATACGTATTTGCGACGTTATAAGCTAAAACGGACATCAAAACAGGTGACGCTAGGTAGCTAAATATGCTAACATTTTTACCTTGGCTCTGTAGTCTCTCCAAAGTGGTCTTCAATGCCATTAAAACGATAAAAACGCTGCTGAAGTTAATCCATAGGTTAATCTAATGTGTCTGTGTCCCTTTGAAATGATCTCTGATAATCCATAAGCATTAAAACTGCTTTTCTGTTTCCAGATGTCAAAGCTAGAGATAGGTCCACTCTGATGCAAAATGATATGCGTGCAGCCCCCACCTTTTCTCTTCACAACGTGTGTGTGGGGGACTCCCCCTTCGATTCTATTGGCTCTAACGGTCAGAAAGAGGTGTCAACCATCAAAATCGAGCAAGGGGGGCCAGAGATATGGAAAATCCACCCAAATGACCCCAGAAGTGGTTTCTTTTTGCTAAATCTCTCTAAAAAGGTCAGATTTCACTTGTTTTGCATACATCTTGATACAGGGTAGTAGTGTTACCAATCCCGCTTCAATGTCATTAGTATGCATAAAAAAGTGACAGGTCACACCTTCTAAGTCCCGCCCCCTAATTATGCTAATGAGCCCCCTTTGATATGCTAATGACCCCCTTTGTTCGAGGTGTTATCGCGTACAGGTGTTACATCCTCCCGGTAGCCCCCACCCCTCTCAGCCCCCACCCCCCTTAGCCCCCACCCCTTCTCAGCCCACCCCCCTCCCCCTCACATACAGGTGTTACATCCGCCCTGTAGCCCCCACCCCTCTCAGCCCCCACCCCTCTCAACCCACCCCCTCCTCTCCCCTTACAGTAGGCGTCACATCCTCCCTGTCGCCCCCCACCCCTGAAGATAGTGAGGGGGTGGAGTCAGTC